CCTCCTCCTCCTCCTCCTCCTCCTCCTCCTCCTCCTTCCTCTTCTTCTTCCCACCCTTTTCCCTTTTTCTTCTTTCTCCTCTTCTTCTTCATGAGATAGACATTCCTGCCCATTTATTTGAAAATACCTAGTCATGAAAGGCCTTGGCATCAGGCCTCTGGCAGTGTAGGAGACATTGATGCTTATAAAGCTAGGCAAGTAGGACAAAGACTTATTGGGTAATAGAACATTCGACACAGGATGACTTGTGGTCAGATAATGACAGCCAAACTCATATAGTCCAGAGAGACTTTAAAAGTGCATATGTAGCCATCCTTGACCATCCTCTTTATTTGATAAGCTGGATATTATCCAAACAATGCAATTAGGCTACTATGCACTATGGTTGAAATTGAGACTAAAGAAATTTTAGTTAATATTGATCCATCTTATACTTTATCAAATTTAAGATACCATTAAGAAAATGAAAGACTAAACCACATTCAGGAAAAGCTATTCTCAAATCACAGATCTGTGATTGGGGCGGGGGGGGCTCCTATAAGTTAAAAAAAAAAGAAAAGAAAACAGGGCCAATGAGATGGCTCAGCAGGTAATGACACTTGCCATGAAAGTCTAATGACCTAAGTTTGTTTCTCAGAACTCACATAAAGGTGGAAAGAGAAAACCAACTCCACAAAGTTGTCCTCTGGCCTCCACACACATGCCATAGCACAATCGCATCTATGCATGCATATCATACACATACAATAGTAAATAAATACATACATACATACATACATACATACATACATAAATATTTAGAGATCTCACAAGAGAAAATATGCAGTAGGTTTGTAAGTAACTAAAAAGATTCTTAGCATCATCAGAAATAGGTAAGTGTAAGTTAAAACAACAGTGTGAATCACTTCACACTCACCGAAATAGTTAAGATCCATAAAAATGACAAGAGGGAGATATAGAACAAATAAAATTCTCACGTATTGTTATGGATAGATCCACACAATGGTAACAGCTACTTTGTGGGATTGTCTTATCACAGTTTCTTATAAAGTTATGTGACCTGTGACCTAAAAATTCTACACCTACCTATTTAACCAAGAGATTAAAATGCGTATCAGAAAATACAAAAGGATTTTATGTTTACTCATAGTGATGATAATTTGGGTCGTTTATCTTTTGTCTTTTTGTTGATTTATAAAAGCACTGGATGTTTCCTCCATCAGCAAGAGAACAAATATATATCCATATAGAGTGAATTGCTGTTACAAATGAAAAACAGTTTTCTCTGACAAGAAAATAGCATCCACTTCTAGCATGGTGGAAACACTGGATGGGGCTGGAGAGATGCTCAGTAGTTAAAGGGTACTTACTGCTCTTTCAGAAGACCCAAATTCAGTTCTCAGCACCCACAACAAGCTGCTCACAACTGCCTATAACTCCAGCTCCACGGGATCCAATGCCTCTGACCTCTGTGGGCACCTGCACTCACATGCTTATGCATAATTAAAAATAATAAAAGTGAATCTCTAAAATAGCTCTGTAAAATTATCTAGGATTTTTTTTTTAGACAAATCCTCACTGTGTTGCCGAGGCTGGTCTTCAAATCCTGGCTCAACTCTCCTGCTTCAGTCTCCTGAGTACTGGAGACTACATGGTTGTGCTACCACACCCGGTTTAGATCTAGATTTTTTAAAAAGCTAATAAAGAATTCAAAACCTGGGGAAATAACCACATTTTTGTCACTGATCTATTTCATATCCTGACTATAAGGAGAGTCATGATTAATCCGTGTCTTTCAGGGATTGTATTGATAAGTTGGTGATATAAAATAAATTCAAATATTTAAAAGTCTTAAAATTACCATTGTTTAAATCCGTAAGTTGCCATATTGCTATATGCTGAAGAATAAATAAGACAGCCTTGGGCAGAACACCAGATGTCCTGCATTACTCAAAACTCTCCTGGTGTGTGGAAGTCTCGGGCAGCAGCAAAGCCCCTGATCTCTCTCCTTCCTTAAGGAGAGATCTTTGGTGTTAAAACAGAAGCTGCCAAGGTCACCCAGAAAAGATGCTACAGAGGATTATGGTTCTCTATTGGCAAAAATGAGGGCTGTCAAAGTTGTCAAGGACCTATTGCTGTGGGGATTTGTTGATAAAGTGTAGACAAACAGAACAGAAGATCCCATCATCAAACCTGAAAGCAGCTTTATTGGTTCATCTTCTCATGGTTCTCAAAGAACAATGAAAGTCCCAGTGAAACTTCCATTATTACTTTTTTTAATTAATTTTTATTTGTGTGCCTGTGTGATATATGTATGTGTGTGAATGTTTGTATATATGTGCATGTGGGAGCCAGAGGTCAACGTCAGGTTTTTTCCTCAGTCTCACTGAACCTGGAGGTCACTAATTTATTCAGATTTATTGGTCAACAAGCTCCAGAGACCTATCTGTCTCTGCCTCCCTAGCACTGGGATTACAAGCATGGGACGTTGTACCTGGCTTTTATATGGGTCTTGGGGCTCTAAACTCAGATAGCACTGACTGAGCTATCTCCCCAGACCCTCAAGTTTATTTATCATGCTGGAGATCAAATCCAGGGCCTAATAAGTCCTAGTAAAGTGTTCTACCACTGAGCCATACCCCATTTTCTCATTGATTATTAATGTTATAAGAAACTAAGGTCAGGATGAACTGAGTGACATCTCCATCTGCACAAAGATACTAGCGTAAGGTAGCCAAATGTTTTTGTTTCAAATGTCTGTTATTTATTCCTAAATCATGATCTAATGTCTCAGTGGTACAAATCCTTTTTATAAAATTCTGGACACTGGCTAATAATGATGATGCTTCCTGTTAATAACCATAAATTAGTCTCCCTCTTTAAAAATTTTAATTTTACTGGTGCACTTAATTGCAGCTAGTTCTTAATGATTAGTTAACAGCATCTCTAGTTACAGAGAGTTTCTTCACAGATCTATTAATACTGTATGATTCACTTAGCATAATAATAATTGGAAGGCTGATATTAGTTTACAGGCTTGCCTACTTCCTCATGCACTTGACCCAAGACCTCATCTTCATTTGGTGTTAAGCACCATCACCCTGACTTGTACTCGCATGACCCATTTCTGAATGCTACCTCAACAATGACGCCTTACTTTCATGTTGTACTGGATAGTTTATAGAATTCCATCACATATC